ACCATAACCTCCTGAGACCCAGCAATGCATTTTTGTCCTCTGTGGAGTACATAGGTTTTTTGTTCATAACTCTGAAACTATACATGCCACTGTGTTAAATCCTGTTGGTCCTTAGAGAGGACATCCTGGGCTTTCCAATGATATGACATGTGTGGGGGTGGGGCTTTTCTGGAATTTTCTTTCTGATTCTTCACAATGGCTGCCATCCCTGTGAGCACATTTTATCGAAAGAAGAAAGGTAAGTATATTATTTTCTAATTATGAGCTTTGTGAGTTTAATATTCAGATTGCTTCTAGTAAATGAACATCTAAGGAATAGTTAGGTGGATTTTCAGAGCAGTTTAATTATTTGTTGGGATAAAACATAACCTGTTTATGTGTGTCCTCCATAGAGGACATCAGGATTTGCTTTTTATTTTTTTAACCTGTTTTAATAGAAATCAGCTCACTGACTGAGGCAGAGAAAATCCTAAACAGGATTATTGATGGAGACTCAGACATAGATTTGTCAGATGAGGAGGACCAAGAGGGACAGATTGACGGTGATTTTGAGGTCGGGAGTTCAGAGGATGAGGCATCAAGTGAGGAAGAGGAGAGTGAAGTTGAGGATGCACGGGCCCGTCGCCCACTTTGGACCAAAACTAACACGTAGGCTTCTGAGACAAGAGTAGATAAGCTTAGACAGATAAGAGTATTTTTTTGGATGAACTATCACTTTTAGAGGACATAATTATTTAATGTATTTGTCTGTTTCTTAAGATTCCTGCCTGTGCTGGAAGACTCCGGAGAGGTTGTCTGTACTGCCCCAAACCGTGTAGACTGGCCACCATCAAAATACTTTGAGCAGTACATTGACAACAAAGTTTTTGAGGACATGTCCTTTTGCACAAACCAGAGACAGATTCAGGTGTCAGGCTCAAGTCTGAATACAACACCTGAGGAGATTAAGACCTGGTTTGGAGTCTCAGTGTACATGGCATGCCTTGGTTACCCAAAAATCAAAATGTATTGGGCCAAAAAAACAAGAGTGCCAATAGTTGCTGAGTCGATGACAAGGGATCGCTTTTTCAAGATCAGATGTTCTTTGAAAATCACTAATGATCTTGATGTAACTGAAGAAGAGAGGAAGCTCAATATGCTTTGGAGAGTCAGTCCACTTTTGAAGAAGGTGCAACAAGGTTGCCTAAACCTACCCAGGCCAGGAAATGTTTCCATTGATGAACAAATGATTCCCTTTACTGGTCGATGTCCAGTCCGTCAATTCGTTCCTGGCAAGCCAAATCCAACCGGATTGAAGGTGTTTGTTCTCGCTACTCCAACTGGAATTGTATTGGATTTTGAAGTCTACCAAGGAAAAAACACCTTTGTCGGCAGAGACACAGGACTTGGAATAGGAGCAAATGCAGTTCTTCGGTTGACTGAGTCCATTCCCAGGGGAACTCACCTGTACTTTGACAGGTATAAACGTCAATTGTGCTGCTGTTGATGATGATTCTCTGTAAACAAATGACACTTATTTTTTATTTTTTGTGTTTGTGTCTGTCTGTCTAGGTATTTCACCTCAATAAAACTACTGGATAAATTGCTAGAAATGGGTCTGCCTGCAAGTGGAACATTGATGAAAAATAGACTCCCAAAGGATTGTAACATTACATCTGATAAAGAGTTGTTGAAACAAGGAAGAGGCTCCTCTGTAATGGTGACAAGGAAACATCCTGAGCTGGCTGTGACAAAATGGGTTGACAATAAACCTGTACTCATGGCATCAACAGTGCATGGAATAGAGCCCCAGGATACCCGGACCAGATGGTCACTGAAAGACAAAAGGCATGTTCAAGTGTCCAGACCTGCAGTGGTGGCAGAGTACAACACCAACATGGGTGGGGTTGATATGTGTGATAGAATGCTTAGTTTTTATAGAATGGCTAACCGCACAAGGAAGTGGACTGTACGCACAATCCTACACTTCTTCGATCTGGCTATCACCAACTCCTGGTTACAGTATAAGGAAGACAGCCAAGCTTTGGCACGACCTATGAAGAAAACTCTCCAATACCATGACTTCAAACTGCTCTTAGGTGAGGAACTGATTGCCCAGGGGCAGTCAGGCCAACCTAATCCAATTGAATCTGATGCGTCGAATGATGAGGAGTACGTTCCATCACAGAAGAGAAGGAGGCCCCAGCCAGATAAGGAAGTGAGAAAGTATGGAGCTGTCCATTTGCCACAGATGATGGACAATCCTAATAGTTCCAGGTGCAGAGCAGAAGGGTGCACTGGAAAAACCTACATAAAGTGCATCAAATGCAACATGTACCTCTGCATCTCAAAGAAGAAGAACTGCTTTATGGACTACCACAAACCAAAACAGAACTAACACACCTGATTAAACTACACTAATCAGCTTGCTTTTGATAAGCTGAATGAGGTCCCTGGAAATCTGAACCACTGGCTTGAATGGTGTAGCCATTTGAAATTTACAGTACTAAAGATTGTCAGAGTTCAGAGGTAAATGTATGCCTCGAAATGTGTTCATATTTGCCACAAGAGAGTCCCGATGTCCTCTCCAAAGGACATACTCTAAAAAATAAATAAAAACATGTTTTGAAATTTTTTCAATTGTAGTGATGTTTTTTCACACCAAAGAGTCATGTAGTGTAAAAAAAATTGAAATTCAAAAACTTTTTTTTCTCTGGGTCTCAGGAGG